ACAATTCAAAATATGAAAAAACTGATTTTATACCACAGAAAAAAACCCTTTAGGCGTCATGGTATCTCGGAAGTAATGGAAAGTTAAAAATTTTGCTCTAAACGTCAAAAATTACACATTTACGAAAAAAACAAAATTACATACAAATCACTACTCTATAATTACAACGCTGATTACCCGTGTTCTATACGCAAATTGTAATAAAGCTAAAAATATCAAAAAAATCATTCCCTTCGCTAAAATCTTCTTATATAGCCTACAATATAAAGAATCGTAACAAAGTACTTACAGGCTGATAGGACGTGTTTGTCTTTGACCAGAGCATAATTCCTTTTAGTGATATTTTGTAGTAGGGTCAGATGTTTTGGTGAGACAGCTTTTTTTAAAACCAGTGCCATGATTAAAAATTTGGTTAGCTTCTATAGACAGATATATTTTAAACTTGTAAATTTGGACAAATATGAACTATTAATTTCCGATCATTGTTGGTTTACTACTGCCAATTCTGAACAAAAGATATTGGAGATATTTTCAAATTTTGAATTCCTCTATTCTTCATAAATGCTGCGGTGTAAAGAAGTTCCTTTGTTTCAAAAAGTTTTTATTGAACGAACCTCTGTCGTTTGAATTAATAAGGCCATTCGTAGACTAGCTAACGTTTATCAAAATCCGACGATTTGAGTCGCTAAGCAACTTCCGCAATACGTCGCAGACATATGTCGGTCACCGGCTCTGTCCGCACGTGGAAACTGATGAGAATAAAAAGTCTCATCCGTCTCACCTTTTGCGACAAGGGGCGGTTGGAATTTATTTAATTTCATAAATAAAATAAAATAATGTTTAATCCTTGTCAACACTGACACACACATAACGGTTGTTAACATTTGTCACTTTATTGGTTATAGTGGGACAAAAAATTTTTTAGTTTTTTATTCCCACATGGGGACAGAGTTGGCTGACGGTTGGGAATAATCCCTCGCCACCTATGTCAAGATTCTCATACAAGTCGCTGCGAATTAAAAAATGGGGAAGCAAATTTATACATTTATATTTCATAAATACGCGTCAGTTTTTTTTTTCTTCTACGACATCGGTCACCCACTGGCTGTGTCGATGCAAACCGGTTTTTCGCAGTATCGCCGCGTTATTCGGCCTGTTACGCAAACAGATACCGTGCTCTTATCTAGAAGATTTTACATTTTTCGCCAGATCTCATCTGTCGACAATTCATCATTGTGTTTACGGAGCGAGTGCTACGCGATAGTAGCGCCACAAATATCAAAGTATCGAAGATATTTTGTGTACGAAGGGCCTTTTGTTCATGAGTTTTACTAGAAAATATAATTGACCTATAGTAATTTAGTAAAGAAATCTTCATGACAGTATATCTTGTACTTCTTTTTTTTTCAGCTTTACCTACTTTAATGGCATAGTAATTGAATAATTTGAGCTTATACGATCTAAGTCAGGCCTGCGCTACTCTCCAATTAGCTAAATATAAACTATTAGCTGTTCCCGTGCTTCATTCGCATGAAATTATGAAAATCTTTTTATTGGTTACATTTGTCAAATTCATTTACAAATGTCAAAATGACATGACATGATGACAAAGCATGGCAATTTTGGCCTTGATGTTGGCAGCAACTTATGGTCTCTTTCCCACATTAGGGTTTTTATCCAAAATATTTATCTCCTACGTTTAATGGCGTGGAAATATATAGCCTAAAGCGTGACGTAAGTGTAGGGCCTTTTATTAAAAAAAGAATTATTCAAAAACATACTGTAATTGCTATCATCTTAGGCAACAAAAAAGTGTGTGTTTACGCTTTATTATAATAGTAGTAGTAGTATAGATAATATAGTTAATCTTCTTAATCTTTGTATGTATTCGATTCACGTAAAAACTACTGGGCCGATTTCAAAAATTCCTTCTCCATGAGAAAGGTAATTTATCTGAGAGTAATATAGGCGAAGTAGCAATAAACAATATAGATAGTGAGGAATTTTCTTATCTGACTTCTTACTAATATATTAAATGCGTTAAGATAGATGTTTGTTAGAGTTTGTAGCCTAAACTGCTGAACGGATATGCATTAAATTTAGCATAGGCTACGTTGATACTGGAAATAGTTACGGTTCTCCTGGGATACATAGGTTTTGTTTTTTCATGTTTACTCAATATTTTTACAACGGTTCAATATTGTTATATTAAAAATTGGTACAGATATAAAACCAAAACTGGACACATGAGGTACGATTCATCTCTGAATAATGTCAGGTTCCCGTGGGATATATAGTCTTTGGTGTATTTTTTAATATGCGCGAACGAAGTCATGGGCGAAAGCTACTTAGAAATAAAATGACCAATATATTCTTATGTTTTATTTACAATATTAAAATATAACATATCAAAAGACAACAAACCATCACCACTAAATTCAATACAAACGTATAGCTACCTCTTTTTATTGAAACAGCGTAAGACGAATGAATTACCTTCAACGTGAAATTGAAATATATATTTTTTAACATCAAAACGATTCTCATTTCACTTTACTATTTTTATTTGAATTTACTTAGAACTAGCATATGACGATTTTTTCTCTAGTTCCAATGAGATTATTATAATAAATTTATTTGGTTTGAAATAAATTAAAATCGATATAAACTGATCTGTGCATAATTTAGAACAATAATGGCCTGTCCCACTCCTGGCTGATAGAGGCTCAGATAGCTTATGACGTCACTGTCAGATAAGGGAACAAAGTCCGATATTTCCATCACATATTTACACGCTAGATTGTTATCGGACAATCTACAATGTGGTGGGATAGATCATTAATTTTTTTAATCTATCATCGCCACAACACTAACATAGCGTTGTCTATGGTTCCACTATTTTCTTATGAAATGCGCGGTTTACACTTAGCCAGTACAGTTGGGTAGCGACTAACTTTCAATAAACTGGCATTGTGACAACTAACTGGCGGTAAAATTAGCATGATATTGGCATATTATGAGGAGGGATGAATCGTTAACGAGATTGACGTTAGTTATGAGTACTAGACGTAGAAAGAGGTGGATTGTAAAAGGTGACATCAAGAAGGGATGAC